TGCTAAAAATTTTCCATGAGTAATTCAGTGGAAGTATGTCACTCCCCCAGACCAGATATGGCTCAACTATTTACCAACACTTCCGATTTTCTTCGAAAATAATCACAAATAGAAAAGCATTTAAAAGGTCAGTGTACTTGGTCCGATTATTAGAATTAAATAAAGATGATTCATTGTTGATGGATATCGTGTAACCAAAAGACTTGCACAACGAAAAGAAAAATACATTTAAATGATAAAACAGACATTAAAATGAATGTGACCGATTCTTATATTCATTCCATCATCAGAAATACTTTTTTTTCTCGTTCGTTGATAAACTCTATCAGAGTGATTCATTATTTTTTTGACTTACTAAATATAAGAGGTATTTACTGGTTTCATATTCACTTTCACGAGTAGAAACTTATTGTAAGAAAACTTTTTGGATGCGTCTTTGAGTTCTACATAATGCTATATGAGCAGAACCGGTGGGCACTATAGCCAGGAGTCTTTAACATGCAACCGTAAGCGCAAAATCTTTGATACTCACACAATTCTAGCGAAACTGTACCTAAGAAAGCAGTTTTCTCAAGACAAACATCTTTCATCTGTCAACATTTTATGATGAGTTTCCTTGAAAACTGAGCAATTTCAGGATCGAACAAGAATTGTGCTGTTGCCTTATTTTCTGTCCTTTGATAACAATTGTTCATCTATTTAGTATGTAGACCTCGAAGACCGAACCTTATAATGGATTATTTTTGGTCATTTGATTGTGGTGATGCTCGAGAAGATTTGACCGGCTTATATAATGGTACATTTGTAAATGGTTCTGCAACCGTCTCACCTGACTTTTCTGGACAAGGCCAGGCGTTGTATTTGGATAGGAAACAGTATCAATACGTTATTCTTCCTCGTTCATTGAATCTAACACTCAACATAAGCTTCACAGTGTCTGCTTGGTTATTAGTAGCTGGCTATCTGACAAAAACGATTTTAAGTGACTGTAATAACTTCAATCCAATATGTATCAGCTTTATCATCACTGATACAACTATAAACATTGAAGTTTCAAATTGGGATAATGCAACTATACTGCAAGAAGTCTCTGTTTCTGTTCAGGAATATATTTGTCAATCTTGTTGGATTCATGTCGCGTTCTCATTTGATCGTCAAACTGGATCGACTGTTTTCTATTTCAATGGTATCGAAATCGAAAGAAAATATTTGAATTTCATTCATCAAACCTTACCACAAATAAGCAAAACCAAAGTGTCCTATATTGGATTGAATACAGTGACAAAGACGTGGCCCTTCTATGGTCTCATTGATAGTTTATCTATTTTATATGCAGTGAAAAATGCCAGTGTAATTCGTTATGAAGCAACCATACTATGTCAATATAGGTTCAATAGCGATGATGTCAATGCTGGATGGGGTCCGAATAATATTCGAGCACGCAGTCAACATGTCTATCGATTATGGTGGAACAACCAGAGTAGCCTTCTTTTCAATGATAGCGACTCATATTTTCAATCGACTGGATTCACTCTACTGTACTCAAATATTTATGAATATTCGATAGCTTTCTGGCTTCGTTTAAAAATACAGAAACCCGAGAAAGTTAATAGTGCTATAGCTGTCTTACAGCTAACATCTTCGATCCCTGCATTATCATCAGACAGCTACACATGCGTCATGAGCATACACGTTTACCCGAATAATCAGACTTTGGGATATTTTTTTCCCAGCATCTTCGAAGTACTCAATGTTAATGGTTCATTCATTGGGAATAATACTTGGGTTCATATTGGTGTAGCATACAAAAGTCCACAAACATATTTATTTTATGAAAATGGCCAACTGATTGCTAGTCGCACGCAACGACGTTTTTCATCCATCATATTTAATGATCCACGATTTTCGATGACCATCGGCGGTGCATACTTAGATGATTCTGATCCGAATAAACCTGATAATTTCGAAGAAATGAAATGTTTTGCTAGAATTCCAGTTTTTAATTACACGAAGATGTATGGAGAAATGGATGATTTAACGTTTTATTCAAGAGTTCTAGATGCATCTGAATTTTCATCTTTGGCCAAGTCTTATATTACAGAGAGTTCAGTTGAAAAATTTTGACAATCTACTTGAAGTTTATCAATTTGCTCGAATATTCTCTATTAATACTATTGTGTCGAACAGATCATGTTGATTTCATGCAACAATTTTTCGCTTTCTTATTAACAAGAAAGGTTGCTCTATCTCAGCCCTATAAGTATGACAGCTAAAACTCTTTGAACTCATTTTCATGATACTTTAGAATGATAACTGCAGTATTTTGTTTGACTAACAACATGCTAGCTTTGATCAACTTTAAATGATGAAATGAAGAACAAGATACATTAAGAATGCGGGTGTGGGTGTGGTCTTTTTTGTAGCCACATAGACACCTACACTCTCATCCATATCCATATCCTAACTATTTGTATCATGATTTAGAGGATATAACAAAACTACGTATCGGTTTTCTTTGATAAGCAATAAAACTAATCGATGTCAAACTAAATAATGTTATGTTTCTTATCGAGCCAGCCAAAATAATATCAGTTGCTGAAACTCTGACTACCAACGATACACAATCGAAGTGTACCAATGTGTTACAACGTTGTGCCTGTCCATCAAGTCAACATATTTTAGTTGGACTGCAATAAATCAAAAACAGCTTGCTTTTCGTCTTTGTAAATCATGAAGATGCAAGAAATTTTTGTTTTATTGATACTCAAATTTTCCCAAGGTTACATAAATCCATACAGTTGCGGCAAAAATTATTCCGTACAATTTCAATAATGATGGTATTTTTCGTTATTCATGATTTTAAAAAAGGTATTTGTAAAAGTCATTGGAGACAGGAAAGAAAAATGATACATTCTTAATTTACTATTGTGGAACCGTGAATATTCTTTTATCTTTCTTAACTCTTATGGATGTCATTTAAACATGCTCTTTGTCATCTTGCTCTTCTCTGAAATCCATAACGTTAATTATTGGAGTTCTCCTTATGATGTTAGACTATTTCGCTTGCTCGCTAGACTATGTTTACCTTAGCGTATGTTCTTTCTTCTATCGTTCTATCTTAGAAAACATTATAGCTATCAAAGAAAAAACAGAAAAGATACGTCATCCTCGTTATGACACGCATTTGAAAAAATATTTTGAAAAAATTTCAATTTGCGATTTCCTCATAGAAATGTTTCAAAGTATAGATTCGCCCTTTTTGAATAACTAAGTGTACTTATATTCAATTGAATTGAATTATGAAGCGAATAGTAAACACGTGTCACTTGTCCTTTCCTGTCTGTAATGACTCTATAAATACCTTTTTTTAAATCATGAATAATGGAAATTGTCATCATTATTAAAATCGTACGAATAATTTTTGCCGCAACTGAACAGATCACTGACTTATTTGATGAAGACAGATAAATATCAATAAAAGCATAATAGAACGTCAATTGTCATACATTTGCACTGAGATCGAGTAGTCTGTCAACTCTACAGTGCTTATAACTTGCAGAAGACGATGTAACAATAATGTAGAAGAAGAAGCTAGTAGGACAGTAGATAAAACGTCTTTTTCTTATTTCGTGGAAGAAATGAAACAGAAAATGGATAACATCGCCGGAGGAAAAGAGAATGTGAGGGTGTGGGTGTGACTATGGGTTTAGGGAAGATTCACATCCGCATACTGGCATCCTTTTTCGCTACATTTCAGTGAAAATTTTCTCTGTAGATCCATCTCAAAAAGTGTATTTTCTTTGAAGAAATCAGAAAAAACCTGCGAGAAAATCTGTAAGATAGGATTTGATGAACTGTTATCTTTTCATTCCAATGATGAAGATGGTAAGTCTACACATGCTTGCATAAAAAGTTATTCGAAAGGCATCTTTATGTCTTTTTTGTGCAATGAATGTTAGTAAATATGAACTGTTGCAATGGCTGGGGCGAATTCCCTCACAAACTTTTTCTTGGTTCTGCTATAATGTATGAGTTAATTGATTGTAATATATGGACATTGACAGCCGATAATTAAATTTCTTTTTTGGAAAGTATTTTCAAAGATATTTGTATTATATATTTCTGGAAATCTCGTAGTCATGTTCCAGAATCCATCAGATGCGAAAATTTCGACGTCGAATCTGAACCATATAGTGTTAATACTTTCAATGAAACTTTATAATATGAATTTGATGATCGCTAAGATAATATGAGATGATGTTTTCGATTATTTGTATCCAAAGACCATAACTATTCTTGCATATTTCTTAGTCAATCCTGACGATAATCTTATCACAATCCTTTTATAATCGAATCTTAATCTTGGAGTAGAGTCAATCACGGATTCGACGAACTTCATCACAATTGCTATGACATTTTATGTTTTCGTTTAATTAAATATGAAACTCTTCTACATCAAAAACAAATAAATATATGAAACAAGAGATAGAAAACTTCACAAAATAAAATATCATCTGTGAAGTTTATTGCCCCTTCTTTCCCAATTTTATCTCTTATCAAAGCAGCATATCATTTATAATACATTCTTCTAAACAAATGACATCAACTATAATTTTTATTAGATTAAATTAATATCAAGTTTTAGTGAGAGCAATGAAAACTTAGTTTCGATTTCGATCGTAGAATGTTTTTCATTAATAGCTTCAATTGATCTTCAAGATTGAAAAAATGTTAGCTTTTCAATTCTATTATTATTTACTGACATATCTAGATTATAATTTCTGATTCAATAGTCTCAACTAATCATTAATAGAATTTAAGAATGTACGGAAGAAAAACAACATCATATGTATGATTTGTATAAGTTGGTCAACGTATGATAAAATAGACAAACAGATAAACAAACAATTGCATACACTCTTTTTTCTTTGATCTTTTACACTTCTATATTACTATCAAACATTCAAACATCCGTTATTTTAGAGCATAATCGATTGAACATGTCATTAAGAATTTGGAAATATCCTAAAGCTACATCACAATCAGAACTTCGTCCTTATAACAGTATTACTAAAAGCAAAGTAAACGGAACAATAATATCTTTATTGGATCTATTGAATTGTTTTTTAGGAATGTTTTGAACCAGTTCGTCAACGAAAAGTTATATGGTGGCATTATGTCAATATTGTTCGAGAGCACCAATAGATTAATCATGTTCGGTAATTCAATTCAACTTGTATATTTTATCTAATTTTTTCTATTTTAAGATCGTACATATCCTTTGATATTCTGCTGCGTCGTGTTCTATCAGCTTATTTTGGTTACAAGGTCCAGTATTATATGAATATTACTGACATGGACGATAAAGTAAATTTTCTTATTTTTCAATTCTTATATCTCATATTAATTCTTTTGAAGATAATTGAACGAGCTCGAGAGTATCTTTTTGAAGAACATATGTATATCCATTCGATTACATTCAAAATAATCGTTGAACATTGTCAATTACATTGAAAGTAAAATTAGATGAACTTGACAAAAACAAGTTCAATTTATGTTTTCTTTATCTCAATCATTCATCTGATGTGGAAATTAAACGACACGTAAATATTCAGTTGAATAGATTTTAATGCATTAAATAAAATCGACTTGTGTTTTTTTATAACAAATTATTTCATGAATGTTGTGATATTCTTGCAACATATTTGGATTTCAATTATTCTCATATTAGAGAGTCAACTTACATAAAATTAGTTAGTCAAAATATTCGCCCAACCATTGACTTTGTTCAAAGAATTCATGGCACCGGTTATCCCTATATATCTAATTCGTCAGTGTATTTCGATCCATTTAAATTCGATAAACAACGTACATGTGCTCAACTAGAAGCTGATCGAATGGATAATGTGGCTGCTTTAAGTGAACGTGAATGTGTATTAACCACATCGGATATGACCGATAAAGGAAAGAAAAACGAATGTGACTTTGTTTTGTGGAAGACAAGTATACTGCGTATGTGGCCATCATCATGGGATCTTGGTAGACCAAGTTGTAACATTGGATGTAGTGTCATGGCTAATACCGTATTAGGTGAGAATCAATGTCATAAAGGAATGTTTTTCATAAACAATGCAAATCAATTCTTTATTTTCTAGATTCACATTTCGACATTCATACCGGTGTTATCGATGTTGAATTTCTTGCTTGTCTTACGGAAAGAAGTCATTTGGAATTTACTAATTCATGGTTGTCTTATTTTCATCATGGCTGGCACTTGAACTTTCCAAAATGTAAAATGTCAAAATCATCAAAAAATTTTATTTCATTTGAACAAGCACTTAAAAAATATGATTTTCGACAACTCCGATTATTATGTCTGTCATACTCATGGTCATTGACTTTAAATTATAGTGATCATGAAAGGAACAAAGCTGTTATTTATGAAGTAATGCTTAATGATTGTTTTTTTCATGACGCCAAAACACATTTAGGTGTATTTCAAGTATCAAGTAATGCAAATGCTGTTACAAAATTCGACGAACATGGTCGAACATTCAATGAACATTTCTCAACAAGTAAATAAGAAATTGTTTATGCTCTATGTGACTCAATAAATACACCTACATTCATGGAGACTATTCAGCAACAAATCTCGAAAACAAGTATGTATATGGATACAAATAATGCAAATGATAATCGTCTTCTCTTGCGAGATATTGTCAATTGCATAACAGGTTTAATCAATATTTTCGGTTTAAAGTTATTTGCACTATCAGCAAATAATATTGATTTTAATCTATAGGATACAGAACGAAAACCAACAGTCAAGTTAGAATATTTTGAATCACTCAATTATTCGGCGTTTTTTTTCCAATGTATTAGGTGATACAAATAAAACGGCAATAAAATTTTCTAATCCATAAATGTTACAACGTGAAGAAACATTGTTGGTTAAAAAAAATAAACACAAAAAAAAGAGCGACAAACATTTGAACAATTAGGTAAAGAAACAAAAGACGCGAAGAAAAAAAGATACAGTATATGAATGTTTGATTGATTATTCTATGGCAATAGTGTGTTGAACTTTTTTCTCTTTCAGAATTCCTAATTCGAAAAATGTAGAAGAAACAAGTGCTACTGATGGAGCAGCAGCAACTAATGATGATTGATCATATGCATACGAACTATTGAGATTTTATTTTAATTTTCTTGTTATTTCTTTTTTGTTTTGATAGTTGACATTCGTATATCTATTTTTTGCAATAAAGTAAACAAGAGCCTATATTATGTTCAAATACCTTCTTGACGATCAAAATTAAGCATCACACATATATTCAGTTGTTTCTTTCATTTTTCTACGATTGTTCAATACAGTCAGCGTATAAATACGAATGTCTAGCAAGATTAAACACTTTACTCTCAAGAATTACTAAATATTTCGTTCGTCATCATCATTGGTCCATTTCTATTAGTTTACGTGCTTGATATTAAATATGTCTTAGTAAAACTGGCCTGATTGTTGTATTCAGAGATTGAATGTTATATACATGAATTATTTGGAATATGTAGAGATTTCTACACCTTATCAATTACTCCAAATAAATGATTGTAATCATGATTACATGGGGGTGTGGGTGTTGCTCTTCTGAAAGGAAACCCACATCCATACCCTAAAAATAAGCTTAATGATGATACATGAATTTGTATTGATTACACAAGTGCTTGATTTCTTTACCCATGCTACAATTGTATGTAAATGAGACATTTATTTTATCATGTTCAACTCGGACTTTGGTAGATAAAAGCGACCATTGCGGTCTGCTCACAGTTGTTTTTGTTCTCAATTTAGTGAGAATATCCCGATTTGATACATCTCCATAAATATTTGAGACACGATCATAAGGAGCATGGTCAATCATTCTTTGATCATTTCTTTTCAACGATGTAAAATATAGATGAAAGTCAATATAACGTTGTTGAGCAGTATTTTCGAATGTTGATACTTGAAGATACGCTAATTTGTCAGTCATGAAGTCAGTCAATAGTTGTAAGAACGAAGAAACAATTTTTGACATGACGATATACACAGATAAAATTGACTTTTTTTACGTTGTTTCTTTTTTAAAGTTTTTCTCTGACATCGACCTAAAAGAATCAGAATTAGATCATAAATTTGAAAGACAAACTAGAATATTGAGTCCATTTCTATAAGGTGAAGCCAAAAGATACAATCCTATGTTAGAATTGAATGAAAAAAATCACAATCACCAAATTCGTAGAATGGACGATAAATCTATTTCAACAATTGCATAGAATTCTCTGAATAAATATGGATTCGATTCAGTCACATTGTTTTCAGGAAGATCAACGAACAAAATTTAGGATAAAGTTTGAAATATTACATTAGTATTTTTACCTTCTTTTTTCTATAAAAGAAACAAAAAAGCTTTTAAAAGTCTATTTTATTTTCTACATTTAAATGTCGTCATGCACACCTGTGATGACATGCTTTTTTACAAAATGAATTCCTTATTCTTCCTTAAAAAGTTTATCAATAGTCTGTTGGGCTTGGAAATGAGAGAGACATCTCAGTTTAATCAATTGAAAAAAACTAGATGTTGTAATATACGAAAACATACCACTCCCCGCTCCAATTAACACAAGGGTGTGGATGTGCGTATGAATGTGGGTGAGGGTGCAGGTGTGAGTATGGGTATGAGTGTGAATGTGGGTTTAAGTATTAGTAAGGATATCACCCATACCCACACCCAGATCCATACCCACCCTAGTTGTCTAGAGTATATATGACCTGAAAATTCTATAAGAAAGTCGTATGGGAATAGCGTCTGACACCACCGTGACTAGCTCGTTGAGCTCTATCGACTGGGCTATCTCTCATTCGAATCCGCGATTACCACTTAGGAAGATTCTCTTGTTAGTCTGTATTGGCCGCAAAAAACCAAAGAATACAATGCAAAGATCGAAACCATGAGTACCGATGACGTAAGTGATGGTTAGGCTTTGACAAAAGCTTCTATTTTGCTGGAGTGCACACTAAGACAGAACAACTCTTTATTTTTTCTGCCTCCTTGCTTGTTTTCTCAATGTTTTTCACTTATTTCGTCTTTTTTTTTATCAGTCACTGTGAAATACATTTATGTATTGTAATAGCTTATTTCATTGTCACCTTGACCCTCAAATGAAGTTTGTATTTGATTACTTTAAGAATCAATCTTTTTTTGTTAATTTCAAATAAATAAGGAAAGGTATGTAAAGCGATGAAGAAAGAAAAACTAAACTCAATACGCGCTTTTTTTATAATTTGTTTTTAAGTAAAATTTCTATTGATGACATAAAGTAAATTTGACAAGTTGATCAAATATAAATGAAACGAAATTGACAAAAGTATTTATCCTTAAACGAATGACTTCGTCATTTTGAATAAAATCATAATTTTAAAGTCTTACTTTTTTTTATCTAATAAAAAATTCTTTGATTGGTATTATAATTAAAAATGTCTTCTAAAACAAATATTTTCTATATAATATTGATTGGATTTATAATATTATTAAACATTGATAGTTCATCATCAGACCACGAATCACACCATGATGATCATCATGATGAAAGAGGTAAGTTTTTTTTATATCATTTTAACACTGATTTTATCTATAATATCACTGGTGGATTTTAAACGACGAAGGATCGGTCATTTTTCTCTTCAGAAATTGTTTTTCGATGTTTTCTGTTGAAAAACAAATAAAAAACAGTTAATTGTACCTCGAATGAGTCTTAAATAGAATTTTTTTTGTCTATAATCATTTCTTCTACAGTCAAAATATCTGATCTTCACTTTCCAAAATGGTAGATCAAACATTGTAAAATAAATTCCATGAAATAAAAAAACTTGATTTATTAAAGATCATTCGGCATATTAACATTCGTCCTACATAGGAGCTCAATGTTTTTCTGGTGATTCATTAATTAAATTATCAAATGGTGAATATAAAGAAATTGGTAATCTTCAATCTAGTGATGAAATAATAACTATTGATCAATCAAAAACAATTTCAACAGAAATGATAATGATGTTAGATAAACAAATTTCAAAACAAGGTATCTTATTTATAATTATTAAGAATTATATATATACATAATAATGTTATTTTAGCATTATTTTATACGTTAAGAACAGATTCTGGTAATGAAATAAGTTTAACAGAATATCATTTAATCCCAACAATAAATTCAAATGGAAATGAAAATTATTTATTTGCAAAACAAATTAAAATAGGAGATTATTTATTTGTTCTATTTAATGGAAAATTAAAATATTCTCCAGTAATAAATATAACAATTGAAATGAAAAAAGGTTATTATGCTCCATTAACAATGAAAGGTACTTTATTAATAAACAATGTTTTAGCAAGTTGTTTTGCAAATGTTAACAATCATCATTTAGCACAATATTATATGACACCTTTTCATTATTATTATAAATTTGCTCGATTTATGTCTTTATATGATCCATTTAATATTAATAAAACTGAAGGTTTACATTGGACAGTTAATATTATGCTTTACTTCGCACGTTATTTTAGATTAGATGCATTATGTTTATGATACAATCATATTTTTGCTCTAGATTTAACAATTATGTTTTACTTTTTTTGTTGTCTAAATAAAATAGTTCGCCAATTTCATTTTCCGATCATTCAGCAAATCTATGATCATTGTTCTCCTTTATTCATTATTTTATTAAGTTATTTAAAGATATAAAAGTGAACGATATCAACAATTAAGATGTGCAAATGATGTGAGAGAAAAAAATCTATATTAGACGACTCCAAAGGAGTTTCTCACTGTTGTTGTGTTGCAATATCATTGGATACAGTGCGTTTTCTTACACTCAGATTGATTAAGATTCAAAACGATTTATTTAACTTTCTTGATAAGTAACAATTTAGCATAAGCCATTAAAAAGGATAATATGGCCATCAATATCAAAGCAAAAAAGTGTTTTCACATACTTCAGTCCGATGCATGATCGATAGATCGTTCCTGTAAGACGCCATTGCCTGAGAGAGGATATACATTGATATGATTGGTCAGACAGAATTGCAGATTGCGAAACTGGTTGACCATCAAGATATTGGAAGCATAACGAAAGGCGCTTATCCATTGAATCCAACGGAGAAAACTGAGTACACTATTCAATTCGACAAGAAAATCACTGAATACCATCATGATGATAAAAACAAGAACCAGAACGATCAAAGCCACGGCTAAACAGTTTTCAAAAGATCTCTGAAAATGTTTTATCTTTCGACAAAATCTTATCAAAAACAGGGATGCTTGCTGCAATAAAGAAACACATGGCTGAGCCGAATAGATTAGTCATGAAGATAGTAAGAAGAAAGACGAAAAACTGTCTAGCAGTTCGTTGCAAACAAGTCATAAAATAGTAAATCAAACGGGAGACTAGTGAAGGAACAACACGCATTAGTAGAAGATTGCGCACTAATTTGGCTAGAAACAAGGTCGAAATATTATAGTAACCACTGACATTTTCCTGAACAAAGAAAAATCTACATTTTTGAAACGTGTTTTCAATCAAAGTTGGTTGACTTTGCTACTTTCATGAAGGAACAATGCTCGTTCTTTGATGAATGGTTCAAGTGCTGTGGCAGTACTAAAAATTTGATTAACAATGATGAAGAAGATACCTACTAAACGATTTTTCACGCCTGAACCCGTCGTTTGAGGTATTTTACTATAGAGAAGATCAGTGAGCAGACCAAGAATAATAGCAACAGGGTGTGGATGTGGGTGTAGGTGTGTGGGTGTGGGTGTGGGGTGTGGGTGTGGGTATGGGTGTAGGTGTGGATGTGAGGGCGTTGAATAGAAGAGAGACACCGACACCTACACACCCACACACCCACACCCACACCCGCAGCAAGCTTTTTTCAATTCGAAAGAACGCTCAGGTACTGAAAACTAATGTCGACGCCAAAAGTAAATGGTGAAAACTCTGCAAGGAATATCTCCCGAACAGATACAGCTAGCGCCCTGCGGTTTTCACCAACTGAAAGGGGAGAAGTGGGGCGTCTTTTTCTTCGATAATGTATAAGACGAAATCCTTTTAAAACTAATCATAGTCGAAGAACATACAAAAGAACCCATGAAAATGACCTGTCAGCTAGATGAAATTTTGATTTTGACCTTTGATTTAGATAGAGAAACTTGAGAACTATAATTCCAGACACAATGCGCTTTCCTACTTTTTCTTACATTTTCATCGAAATCTCAAGCTACTATCATAGAAAGTGCGAAAACTTAGCAAAATATTAGCAAAATTCTCTATTATTTGCCCATGTAAGTACATGATTCCATTTGCACAACGTTAGAATGTAATAAGACAACCATTTGCGTTGTATCTGGAGCTATAGATCTCAAGTCCCTCTATCTAAATCAAAGGTCACAATCAAAATTTCATCTAGCTGACAGGTCATTTTCATGGGTTCTTTTGTATGTTCTTCGACTATGATTAGTTTTAAAAGGATTTCGTCTTATACATTATCGGAGGAAAAGACCCCCCCCCCCCCCCCCCTCCTCTTTCGATTGGTGAAAACCGCAGGTTGCTAGCTGTATCCATTTGGGAGATAGTCCTCGCAGAGTTTTCACCATTTACTTTTGGCGTCGACATTAGTTGCTGACTTGAATCGTGACTCATGCGTTGAATGGAAGAGGAAGAATTTGCCATGACAACTAAACGAATGAAAAGCAATAAGTCGGCTGCTGCATTTCATGCAGTCAGCCGCTTTAAAGAAAACTCGTGGCGACCCACAAGAAGGATGCTTCGTGCCTTAAAAATACTTATTCCTTTGATAGTACTTGTAATGGTTATGTGTTGTCATAAGGAAAAACCAAAAAATTAAGGAAAGTTTTATTTCAAAAAATCAATCAAATTCATATTGTTTTCAGAATTTATTAATCAGAAAGTAAAGTGATCAAGAGAAAACTTTAATCATGAAGGTTTCTCTCATATCAATATATCTTTTTTCCTTCATCGAATTGAACAAACAAGAAAAATGAACCACGAAACAACAACTTCTTTTCTCAAACACCTACCTCGAATATATTTGAGAAAGTTCAATATTCATTCGACTTTTTATTAAAGAACTAAATCAGTCACAAAAGTTGTTCAATCGTAAAAACACCTATGAAACAATTATCTTTAAAAAGAAACGCAGATTAAAAAAATCTCTTGAAATGTTCTATTCCGTTTAATAAACAAGGAGACAATTATTTTTAATTCGAACTTTCATATAGTTTAGAAATTCATATTGTTTCATTATCGTTTTTTCTTTATTTAAGTTCGACCAGATTATAAAGAATATTACGATGATATTTTAATTCTACAATGGCTGAAGTCTCTAAAAACATCTAAATCGATTGGTATATACATACAAATAAAATGATTATATACGAAAAAATAAATTCATCATATAATTCTTTGTTTTAGCTCAACATGTAGCTATTTTTGAACAAAATCTTTGTCAATTGGTCGAAGAATTAAAAGAATTTACCTTTCTCGATATTTATGGTGAAATTCATTATGAAAAAATTGAACCTTATCGTTTAATGGTTCAAGCTCGCTTTCCTAATAGTCGAATAGATGTTGCAATATCAAGATTTCGTCTTTGGCTTTAATTTTCTGTTTGTTATATGTAACATATATGTGTTAAAAACAATTATTGTAGTTAATGATTTATTTTTTTTTCTACTTGTCTCTCTTTAATATTATAAACTGTAAAATACTTACATTCAATAAAGAAATGTTAATATTGTTATCCAAATAATATCTGGTTGTTTTCTGAAGAATTCTAATGGCATAACTAGAGAGAGACTGGAAGCAGAGGCGGATCCACCGTGGTGCCGTTGGGGCAGCCATCCCTTCATTTGGAATTGATTTTGTGCTTATTTTTAGCGATTTTTCTTCGAAACTTTGTATTTTCATCACATCCGTCCCTCTTTTTGCTAAACCGCACCGCCTTCAAAAATTCCTAGATATGCCACTAACTAGTTGGAACCCAACTTAACTTACCCTGCCAACATTCGAGCTTCTCTCGAAAACTTGGAAACTACTGCCATTGCAGATGTAAGTGTCCTTGGAGGAGATTTCAAAGGAATTGAACATTTTCGCCCTACTGTGAACAGAAAAGGCGTCAAAAGAAATTCTTTTAATTAGTTGAACTATCAACTTAATATTTTATATACACACAGATAACGTTTAAATTGATTATCTATGCTCCCCGAGTCTCTCTTACTCGAAAACTTTCGGAAAAATGAAGTTTTCGACTTTCAAAAAACTGCAAATCTATATATATAATGTTCAGTGTCTGTCTGTGTGTGTGTTTCTCTGCGGGATTAAAGGACAAACGTCAAAGCTGAAAGGTCAAATAAGACTATAAGGGAAGGTCCTCAAGGGCTATTATATGGAACTACCCATAGGTCTTCAACAGCTATTATATATACAGGACTATCCATAGGTACTTAATAGCTATTATGGGTAGGAGGAGGGTACCTATAAGTCCTCAAGGCCGATTATATGGGGTAGCCACAGGTCCTCAAGAGCTATTACATGAGGGTACCTATAAATCCTCAAGAACAGTTATACGGGGATACCTATAAATCATCAAGGGCTATTGTATGGCATATCTATAGAACATGAAGAGCTATTGTATGATATATCTATAGGATATGAAGAGCTATGATATGGAGATAGGGTGGGTGTGAGTGTGGGTGGTGTGGGGCGTGAGTGTGGATGGGTGTGGGTGTGGGCTGTGGATGAGTGTGGGTGAGTGTAAGTGTGGGTATGGGTGGGTGTGGGTGGGTGTAGTGTGGGTGGATGTGGGTGCAGTGTGGGTGGGTGTGGGTGGGTGTGGGTGTGGATGCAGGTGAAGAGAAGATCTACAACCACGTACCTTCACGCACACCCACACCCACCTACACCCATCCGCACCCACATTCACACCGACCAACACCCACACACACCCACACTCACACCCACACACATCCACATACACCCACCCACACCATCTACACCCACACCCACCCACACCCCACACCCACACGCACACCACCCACACCCCATCCACACCCACACACCCACAGCCACTAAAGAATATTTCACAATGCGAATATCTGGACTATAAAGTGTACTAAATCACACCAAATATGATTACTTGGCAGTTCTTAATAGGAACTTAACTTAGCAGAATAAAAGAAGTTCCTCATAAAATGCTACTATTTCATAAAATCAAATAGAAAAAAATTAGACGTTTTTGTTTTTCAGCATATCCGTGACGGTCAGCTTTTTAAGTTCAGTTTTCACTATCGAACTTGTAATTTGTTCATCTCTTTCGCAATAAGATTCTTGATCAATGTAATCATAATCGATGTTTGATGGCAATAGATGAGAACCTGTGATTACATCATTATCCATAAGAGATACTTTTTCTTATTTATTTATGAAAACAATCATATAGTTGACTGTTCGTGAGAAGAGAAGAATGTATATGAAAAATAACCGAACTCGATCATAAGAAGGAGACCAGATATGTCTTGAGTATCACAAATTACGATAGATGAGTACCAAATTAGATATATGTGAAAACAGCATCAAACGAAAAAAATATATAAAAGTGATTAAATATACGTTAAGCGAATTGAGTTTGCCTTATATATGTATACAGCTAGTAAATTGTGATAAGGTCAACTCATATAGACTAATCTCACGATAATTAATAAATTGTGGGACACAAAGGAATATCGACGGGTGTGGAGATGGATCTAGAGTATCCAGCCCGACTCCCTCATCCATTCTTTCGTCCACACATTCACCTACGCTCTCATCCACATGTTAATGTTGTTTCTTTTCGTAAAAGATACTATTTTGTGTCCCACATCACATATAATTAACACGATGCTCAATTGTCTTAATTTGTGGTGCTCGAAACATATTTCTTCCATAAGGAATATTTTTTTCCACATGCTGTAAACATACGTCCATTAATTGCATTTTATACTATTCAACTATAGACCGCCTTGAGCGTCATAAAGAACAGAAAAAAAACAGAAGCGAAGCTGAGAAATGTACATTTATAAAAATAAAAAGTATAAACAAGATACAAGAGCTACAAAATCACCTATTCGGGAAAGGAGTCTTCTAATCTGTCTTTTGGGTTGTTTATTTAAGGAGGTCTTCTAATGTGTTGGGGGTTTTAGGCCATATGTCAGCAACTCTATCGTTGTCTTCGTAAAGTAAAACTCAATTATTAAATAATTCATCAATAGTTCAAAATACAATCTTTGTTCTTCATAGTTCGTTCTGCACGCGACGTTTTTTATATATTTTACCCATTTCAATCTAGTTACTGAATAAATAGCTTGACTGAACATGTAACCAATGGATCGTGATGAGCACAAAATAAGCGAATCAGATAAATAATTATTTATTTCTACTACACTGCGCTTTATGTAGAATTATTCAGCATTTTATTCTAAAAAAAAATTAAATAACATCATCTTGGTCAATTGAGAAAAAGTTTCTGTTCGCATATTCATATTTCTATTCCCTAGACTGAAAGGATAGGGTCTAGAAACCGAAATTCGCCTGACTCTGTCTGTAACACTTGGTACAAGGGACCACTTTCGTGATACAAAGTACCATAGTCGTGGTACAATTGACTATTTTCATGGTACAAAAGTACCATTTTGGTGGTACAGGCGACCATTTATTTGACGCAATTGACCATTTTCATTATATAATTGACCGTTTTTGTGGCGTAATTCATCATTTTCATGACACAATCAACCATTTCTATGGCACAGTTGACCATTCTTACGGTTCAAATGAGCGTGTCTGTGTCAAAATTGACCATACCCGTATTAGAAATGGCCATTACTTGGACATAAATCACCATTTTTTGATCGTTATAATTAACTAAAGCATCAACTTTATCATATACATTAGCATCTTTCAATATTTTATGTCAACTATCTCAATATATCGATAGTATGTAATATTAGACATGTTACAAATAATAATAATTTCTCCTAAACTCATTATTATACAGAGTTCATTTTTATTTAAAAATATAAGGACATCTTTGTCATCATTCCGTCAGTCTAGTGCCAGATGAATCGACATTGAATGTCGATGAACGTTAATTGTTTTTATTATTACAAGAGAAGATATTATTTAATAATATGTGATATGAAAGACTGACAAGAGCATTCGAGGCTCAATAAAAAAATTAGCTAGAAGTGATTTCCTGTATGCATATAAATTAATTTTGTGGTGCCTCAAAACTTATGAAACATCCTGTATGTATTGCATCCTGTTTCTAATGGCGGATCCAGGATTTCACAGTATCCTGGATCTCAATTTCACAGCATGGGACTCAGATGAACCTTATGGGGGGACGATATTGGATTCAAATGATGAGTTTTTATCGAAAAAGTTTTGTTATCGGAGTTTGCGAAAAAAAAATTTTGTTCCTGATCCCCCAGGATTTTTCTTTTGCTGTTAGTAGTATTCTGTCTTTTAGAAATTAATAGTAAGCTATATCGAATTTCATCGACAGATTTCAAATTTCATCTAAAAATATTGATCTGTTCAAGAGTTATAATGTTTTTTTGGCTACATGTTGCTAAAATTTTAGCAAAGATTCAAAACGTTGTAATTCTTGAACCGATAAATATTTTTAGATAAAATTTGCAATCTGTCGATGAAATTCGATGTAGCTTACTATTAAATTCTAAAAAACGGAATACTAATAACAGCAAAAGAAAAATCTTGGGGGCTTAGGAAAAAAATTTTTTTTCGCAAACTTCGATAGCAAAACTTTTTCGATAAAAACTCATCATTTGGGTCCAATATCATCCCCCATCAGTTTGATCTTGGTTCTATGCTCTGAAGTTGAGATCCAGGATGCTGAAAAATCCTGGATCCGCCAATACCTGCTTCAATCTTTGAAGTAACAGATTTTTTTTCATCATTCATCTTATTGATTTGGAATTCTGCTAATGCTTTAATAGCGATAAAAGTTTCTTAATCAGATTCAGTCTTATTATAACAAGCTATTGACTACATTCCTTAGTGAGTAAATTCAGTATCGCAATGCTTGGTGACATATGGCTAAACCCAATAGCATCTTCTAAGGCACAAAGTCAATAAAACCTTATGAATGTGTTCTTGTTTCTTGTGACGAACTATTAACAAGTCGTAAATGTCGTCACTTTTTGAGTACGTCAATTTAAAACCATTTGCTTGAGAATGTGTGATAATCTATCAAAAGGAATCTGGAAATGATAAGTCTGAATGCATTGGAGAAACAATAATCTAAATAACAATTCGTTTATCATAATATTATGTTAGTTTGACATTTCAAAGTCAATACAAAAACGATGTCTTTCTTAGCTTCAAATTAGTATAATGAACTCTATTAATATTAAATCTCTACAAAAGACAAGTTTTTATTTATTGACACATTGTATTGATCATTTGATTGTCTCCGTATGTCATATATAGCATAAGCGAGTTTTCAAACTGGATATGTGACTTCTCTCACTTAAGAAGACTTAAAAGAATGTCGTTTTGTCACGATAATTATAATTAAGTGGAATGTTTCAAATAAAAAAAACAC